CAGGACATGTGGTATCTGGTGGCTTGCCTCTGGAACTTTCAATATCTGCCCAACTTATTCCCTTACTTTCTTCCCTAAGTCTTTCGGATACTTCCCTTTCTGTAGAAGGGACTTTTGATCTCTCTAAACCTACAGAGGAAACTCTAGGACCTTCTACTTCATCCCAGGGACCAAGTGAGTCTGTGAATTCTGCTCAAAGGGCCCAAAAAAGAGATCCATCTGCTTCAGAATCTACAGGATCTATGCATTCTTCCAAAGGTCCCATGGTAATTTCTTTATCTGGACAAGGAACACTAGGATCTGTATCATCCTCCCTAGAGCCTTTGACAATGTCTCTATCTGTTCAAGTGAATCCAGGACCTTTGTCATCTGTTCAGGAAGCTGGAGGCCCTTGCCTGTCTTTACAGGGGAATCTGGAAGGTTACACCTGTACACATGGCAAGCCAGGAATAGCCAATGCTTCACCAGGAGATTTCAAATTTTCAGCATCTACCACAGTGAGTCTAGGATCTTCTCTATCTGTCCAATTGGATTTGACAGTGTCACAAGGCCACTTATTGCCTCTGAAGCCCTCCCTGTCTGCCCAGGGTGTTCCAGGAACATTGACATCTGCCCAAGGGCCTCCAGAAACTTCCTTGTTGTCCCAAGAGCCCCCAGGACCCTGTTTGGAAAAAGAGGCTTTAGGATATTCACCATCTGATCCGGAAGGCCTTGGACTTTCTGAATCTGTCCTGGACACACTAGAAACATTGCCATGTACGCAAAACACTGCAGAAATATCACCTGTCACCCAAGAGATTGTAGAACCTTTGTCACCTGCACAAGATTCCCTCAGATTTCCACCTCCTTCTTCACTTAGTCCAGAGTCAGAAGAACCTCTGCCATCTACCCAATCCACTTTTACGATTTCAGACTCTGTGTCAGGGACTCTAGAATCTTTGCCATCGGTGCCAGGGGCTCTGGGGCTTTTGAAACCCAATGAAGGTGCTCTGGGCCCTTTAGTATCTGAACAAGGGATCCTGGGAACAACATCTCCCCAGGAAACTCTAGAACACTCTCAACCAGCCCAGGGGCTTCTAGAACCTATGCCATCTGCCCAAGACTCTGTGAGAACTTCCTTTTCAACAGAGTTTCTGGGACTGTCCCATTGTGCACATGATGACTTTATCCCTATGGCTTCTCGTGCAGAACGCCAGAGACAGTCCCCCTTTCCCAAGAAAGGCCCTAGACTTTCCAATTCCACCCAAAGGATATTGAAATCTGTCCCATTTCCTGAAGGGGATATCAGATCTTCTCTTTCAGAACTTGATGTCTTAAAACGTATCTCTTCTGCTGAAAGTAGCCTCCCATCTTTCAAGTATGGCAAAAAAGACTCCAGTCCCACTTCTAGTTCCCCTCCTAAAGAAGCTCTCAGTTGTTCTCCCTCTCCAGATGATCACTCCAGACATTCTAAATTGGGGGAAACAAGATCCAGCCATGCCTCTTCAGAGCAAGCAGACCTGCATTCTGTGCCATCAGAAGATGAGGGCTGGGAACTCTGCCATTCTTCCAAAACGGGGATAAGAGCTTACAAACCTGACAAAAGGGGTGCAAAGCTTAAAACCGAGACCAACAGAAACCTCACCACTTCTGATTCTGCCAATGGAGCCTGTGGATCCTCGCCATCTCCCGAGGAGGGCCTCAGAAGTACCCCACCTCCCCAAGGCATTCACAGACAGTCTAAGTCTACCAAAACCACATCACAAAAGGCCCCTTCTGACCAAAGGGACACTCAAGCTTCCAATTCTGAACATGAGAGTTGCAAACCATCTTCTTTGTCAAAAAGAGAGCTCAGACATTCCTCATCTTCCAAAAAAGATCAGAAACCGAAAGCTACTCCCCAAGAGGGCATAGCATCTTCCATCTCTACAGAAGAGTGAACACAAACCACTCCCTCTCATGAAGAGAGCCTTGGGCATTCCACCTATTCTCATGAGATTCCCAGACACACTACTTTTACCAGGAGAAGACAGAGGAATGCCTCTGATACACAAAGAGGCCTGAAAATTTCTCCTGCAGGTCAAGAAGGCATTGAGTCATCTCTAGATGGTGAGAGTCCGCATGGGGGTGTCAAACTCTCAGCATCACCCAAAGAGGATATCCGCCACCCTTTTTCTACTAAGGAGGGCTCAAAACATGTTCCTATTGTCAAAGAGGGAGAGAAACCTTCCATTAGTTCCAAACGGGAGCCCAGAGCTTTGGTTCCTATCTTCTCATGGAGACTCAACCCTCCACCAGTTCCAAAAGGGAGTGCAAGATCACTCCCTGTTACTCAAGGAAATTACAGACGTACCATATGGCAACCAGAGGATTGGGTACCTTCCCTCTCCTACCAAGGGATAGACACAGCACTCCAATATCAATCTGGGTACCCGCTTTATGACCCTTCGGCCCTAGGAGGCCACAGATATATACATTTTGTTCAAAGCAATCTCAAAAGGATCCCACTGCAAAGGGGGAGATGTAGTTCTAACCTCTCCCCTAAAGGAGCTATCAGCCCTTCTCAATCTGAGCAATGTGGATTCAGACTTTCAGTATCTCACTCAAGGGATACTGGATTTGTCCCCCGTGTTTCAGGAAGCCTCAGAATGTTTCAGGCTGAAAGAGGTGGCCTCTCAAATGCCCCATCTAAGACACTGGGTCTCAGAGATGCTTCTTATGACAAAAGAGAATTCAGAAATGTGTCTTCTAATCGATGGTGGGTCAGACCTTCAAGTTCTGCCCTAGGAAGCCTCCGACTTACTCCTTCTTCCCATCGAGGCACCAGAGCTTCCCAGCCTGTCAAATGGAAGCTCTAAGAAAGCCCATGTCAAGAGGGTGGCCTGGGCCCTACTTTCCTTTACCATGGCATTTTCAGTTCTTTTTTTGTTTTTAATCTAAAAGCCACCCTCATGTTTTCCCACTCTGTGCCCCATATAAACAACAGGATTTTCAAACATTTTCTTCTCATCAACCATCTATCAAACTCCTAGCTGCCTCAGATACACATTGAAGCATCAGGTAGGCTCCTCTGACTAAAAGCACGGTAAGGTAAGTATTCCCCTTCTGATTAAGAGTAGCTCACAATTTGTAGTCAAAACAGCATGCTAGACAATTTGCTCATCGTGGAGAATAACATGTGCTTCTTCTGACCAGTGTGGATCTAGGCCTGCTTGATCTGACCTAATCAGTGAAAAATCAACTCCCTCTATCTAAGTTGCACTGGGTGCATCTTACTCTGATCCTCTGACTTCATGATCTCTGTCCAAAGAACAGGACCCGGATACCTGAGGTCCTAATGTCTAACAGTAGCCTGCAAAGTCATAAACCCAGGATATATAATACATGGTCAAGTTGGTCAGCAGAAACAAGAAAACCATGCCATGTTCAAAAGTAGGCAGCTGGTTTATCAGGAGACCTAGCTAGGAACTGCCTCTTGGCCTGTTGGAGATTGATTACACTGCTGTCTGGCCTGCATGACATGGATGTTCTAGGTTCTCATGAAGACTGGATAAGGAAAAGTTCAGGTCTTCTCTACTCTCCACCTTGACCCTTGATCTTCCCCTGATACAAGAGTCTTTGAAATTTCTGCTTTCCCCAACTTGATATGAGACATTTGCCTCTAAAGTTTGGTATCTTTAATAGTTTGGGGATATATCAACATACTCATTCTGTCCATGGGTCCTCCAAATTGTGACTCTGACACAGAACCAGGAAGACTCACACTTTCCCCAATCTCTGAAGTGGAGCTCAAATCATTCTCAAGGGCTCAAGGGCTCCTCGGGCATACTCTGTCTTAACCAGGAAGCCAAATGCACTCCAGTGCTTCTCAAGTAGGCTTCAGACCTACAGCTTAAGAACTACTGATCTTCCAAATTTCTGTATGGATCAAGGGGACTTCTGACCTGTCTATTCTGAACTAGAGATACTCAGATCTTCCCCAGTAGCCTAAACGACCTTAGTCTTAACTGTCTAGGACCAATGTGGTTCACAACTTTCACCAGTAACTCAAGGGGATTTCAGATGTACCCCCTCAACATTCAATGTGTCAGAAACTCCCCAGTGTTCAAGGGAGCATTAACATACAATTCCTTGGAGACCCTGAAACCTCAGGCATTCATTAATTGCTCAAATTGACCTCAGAGTTACCACTTCAGAGCTAAGGTGTCACATAGGTCCTCAATGACTGAAGAGCCACTGAGACCTATCACATAATAAGCAAAGGACTTCAGAACTTAACAAGACGATCACAAATACAGCCCTTTTACAACCAGCGTGCAATAGAATTGATGAAGTCATAAAGGGGCCTCAGATGGACCCTTCTAGAACCAGGACAATTTACGCCTCCAGATAATAACTCCATCAAGTGATGCCCCCTCAGAAGTAAACTAACCCATGACACCAAGGGGGCTGATACCCAGTTGAAATATCTTCTGAAGAGGGCCTTAGCCTTATTTCCTCTAAGCATAGTAACCCCTGACATTAAGGGTATGCCTAAGGGATCAGCTGACCTTAAATAAAAACATTTAATTCTTCCTCTGTCTGTCCTGGAGGCATCTGAGACATGCCCCTCTGATGAAGCTAGCTATAGGAATGACTTTGTGACTGAGGAGTGTGTCTCAAATATTTGGGCTTGGCTGTAGTGTGCTTCAGACTGAATCCTTGTGACCAAGAATGCACAGGAACTTCTCTCTTTGTTCATGGCTGACTCGGGTCTACCATTCATCTAAGAGAGAGCAGAGATTCTCCGTCAGACTTTATTGGTTAGGAAATACACCTTTGACCACCCAAAAGGCTCCGACAACCCGGGATTCAAGTCCCATAGCCACTGAATCAAAACCTCAGCCTGGATCCAAGGCCATCTATCTTTTATCTGCTCACCAGAAAGGTAACTGTCCTCCACACCCACACCTGTGGGGCTTATTTTAAGTTTAAATAGGAAACAGATCCATGGTCTATGACCCAAGTTCTCAGAAGAAACCAGAGATCACTGTCAAGTCTGCAGTGGAGTCCTCAGAGATAATAATTTTCTAGAGTTCTCTGAAGACTTGGAGGCCTGGAGTGGCTGGACCAACCTCCTCTACAGAAGGTAAACAGGGATACTCCCCTACTGTCCAACAGGGTTGAGGGCCTTTCTCCTTTCCAAAATTTTGGTATTTTTCTTCCTCTGAGGATTGAGGCCTTAAAAGGAACCCCTTTAACCCAATAGGCTCTCATCTCATAACAATCCCTTCTGCTCAGGAGCCTGTGGGATATTTTACCTCTGATCAAGGAGCATTGCGCCCTTTGGTCAAAGTTTACAGAAATCAAGAGGAGGAAGCAAATCCTGGAACCTTATGCCACTTCCTTGAATAAAGTCACATGACATGTTGTGAAATCATCAGTCTAGCTCACTTCTGGCTGGTTGAACATAATTCTTAGGAAGCAATCATGCTGAGGACACATACCCACGGTGATCATGAATCATGGTAACTATATTTTGTCTCCTGCTGCTTCAGTAAAGATATGGATACCCTAGACTGTGAAGAACAGTAAGAAGGTGAGGCAATGCTAAGATCTCATGAGCTAAGGTAAGCCATTTAATTTTTGCTCAAAATATTATGGAAATTCTTATACTGTGATCATCTCTCCCATCACAAATATATTGAGTACCTCCTTTCTTCCCAGAGGTACTCACTCCTTCTACCTTTGATTAAGGAAGCATCATATTTTCCCACTGAAGCAAAGGGAGCCTCAGATCATTGCAGTTTGTCAAAAGGAGGCTTAAACATTCATTTAGGTTGTGTAATCCTATACAACATCGTGAACATCTCTGTGAGTTTTCATGTCAGTGACTTCTCTGTAGGCTTC